AACGTCCCAGGTTAAATCCTCAACAAAAAGAGTAACCCCAAGAGTGAGTTGATGAAAGAGCCGACTAGTATACCAGAAAACCCTGTATATAACAAAATGAAATATTAGAAAATATGACCAGCTTTTTAACCTCGATATACCATTAAAATTTATTGTGACGAACCTTACAAAATATATAATGATTATTAGTACATACCCTACTGTGCTGAGGGGGTTCGAAATTACAAAATCCAACCACGACAGTCCCAGACTGTTGGCGATGTCCACGAGAGGTTGTAGCAAACAACAGTTCCTAATTTCTTCTCCAAAAATATATTCTTGTTCGCAAGGAGAGAACACTAAAGGTACACAATTTAATGACCAGAATACAAAACTAACTGGGATTAATCAGAAAAATTATTATATTTCAAAATTTAAAGGAACATATCCACCATTTTACGGCGTTATACCACAGCTTATACAATACAGCTAAAACACTCTCTTGGCGGCAACGGTTTGCGTCGATTCCGTCGCGCATTGCTTAAACTCCTCCTTCGGACGGAAAAGACGGCTTTGGAGTTCAGAATCGTACTTAGGTAAGGATTGAGACGTGCATATAATTCCGTTGATTGCATAATTTCGTTGATTTTGTTTGAGCTGCTTGTTGTGTTAAGTTAAAGGTGCTATTATTATTTTGGTGACTCTTTAACTGTGAGTAGAATGAGTGAAAAAAAGACATCATTCAGTCTGTGCAGTCAAAAGCTGTTTTAATAAGGGTTATACCTGCAAGAAAACATTCTTTCGTTTTCCCAAGGACCCAAACCGGTAAGTACCACATTCTAAGAAATTTTCATTAATAATAATATAATTTATACAGGATGTCCCATTAGTGCGTAATTGTTCAATAGTTGAATTTGTGTTGTAGACACGCAAAAAAAGTTTTAAATAAAAATTATATGGATTTGAAAAATACATATTTTAAAAATATTTTTGAATATTGAATTGGCAAATCAAAATGTATTTTATTTTATTTTTAGAATGGTTTGGTAATACTGTATTTAACCCTAAAATGTATTAAAAAATATTAGTGTTGCCAAGCAATTAATTTTTTTTTAAATTAGAGAATGATGCAGACCCCAAATTAAATTATCATAATTTAGGTAGGTTTACATTGATTTCAATACTAAGCTAACGAATAGTGGTGATAGAACTGGTTTATTTTATACAGAGTGTTTTAAAACATGTCTTAAATATGGCTAATTTTAAGTTCAATTTACTCAATTTTTTCAAACGTATATTATTTTGGCCTAAAATTCCTTATAAATTTGATTATTTATCTATACCAAAATATTAGCCAATAACACATAAACTTTGTATCCCATGAGTGCGTAATTGATCGATAGCTGTTTTATTAGTGGAAATACGAAAAAAAAAATTATATAAATTTGTATGACCATGTTTAATAAATATTCTTAAATATACAGGGTGTTCCATAAACGAGGGGAGTTGATGAAACTTATTCATTTTTAAAGCAAAACACCTTGCAGGTAGTCATACATATTTGATAGTTTTCACATCGTCAAACCATTTTAATAGACTTAATTTATTTGCTATAGGGTATATAGGGTGTGTCAAAATGGGGAGTAACGGTTTTCTCACGTTTTTAAATGGAATACCCTATAAATTATACCACCGACTAATTGATACAGGGTAATCCATTAAAAAAATAGAGAAAATCGTAACCTCACGATTTGACACACCCTATATACAACATAGCAAATCAGTGAAGTTAATTAAAATTGTTTGACGATGTGATAACAATCAAATATGAATAACTACCTGTAGGGTGTTTTGCTTTAAAAAGTATAGGTTTGGTCAGCACCTCGTTTATAGGCCACCTTGTATATTTAGGGGTAATTGTTAAATATGGCCATACAACTTTTATATTAAATTTATTTTTGTATTTCTGATAATAAAACAGCTATCATCCATTACGCACTAATGGGACACCCTGTATATATGTTATTGGCTAACATGTTGGTATCGTTGAATAGGTAAATGTATTAGGAATTTTTTGTCAAAATAATATACATTTAAAAAAAATTGAGTAAATTGAACTTAAAATTAGCCATATTTAAGGCACGTTTCAAAACACTTTTAATAAAATAAACCAGTTCTATCACCACTATTCGTTAGCTTAGTATTATATAAGTATGTATATTTAACAATTTTTTAATCAGTGTAAATCTACCTAAATTATGATAATTTAATTTGGGGTTAGCATCATTCTCTAATTTAAAAAAAATAATTGTTTGGCAAAACTGTAATATTTTTTCAAAACATGCTAGGGTTGAGTACTGTTAACACTGTACTGTTAACAAGCCATTCTAAAAATAAAATATAGGGTGTTCTATTAAAAAAAAACATAATTTTTATTTGCCAGGCAAAAAACGTCTATAACACAAATTAAAATATGAAACAATTACGCCCTGTATAAACAGATTCGTTTATTGACTTACGTTAGGTTTAGGCTGTTTTTATTTTTATTAATTCCTCCTAGGTGCTAAAGTTACCTATTGAGCTAGGAATTCTAAATTTGTTTGTGTAGATGATAGTCTAATAATTAACTTATTTAAACTTAAACACATGATTTTTTTCAGGGCTAGGACATGGGCAATGAAAGCCAATCGGGAAGACCTTTTGGAGAAATTGGACGATCTATATAAAAGTTACAAGCTGTGTAAATGTCATTTAATTACGAGTATTAAAACTAAAATCCTAAAAGTGTCGGTGAAGATGAGGACAGAGCATCTGCCTTCCACGAGAAAAGCCCGGGATCGAATCTAGGCCGGGGAATAATTAAATTATTTTTTTTTATGTTTATTTTATAAATTAGTAAAATACGTAAATTATTTTAAAATTAGTTATTTTGTCTAAATAACCTAAAATAATTTATAGATTTTCGTCAGTGGGTCGTAGAAAAAATATACTGTACAACTCGAGTGGATTGTCCATATCCACTCTTGTTGCACAAACTACTATTTATTTGTTTTCTTGGTTTAATGTTTACATCAGTAAATAGGAACTAAATTAATTTACTTTTCGAGTTTTCTTGTAAAAATCGATATTACACTCTCCAAGTAAAAATTTAGTACCTACCTAAAATAGGTACTAATTATATAATTTCGCATAATATTGTAATCTAAATTTCACATTAGTATTCAAAATTCTCTACTTCGGTACGGTCAGATAAAAATATAATATATAAATAAAAACTGTCAAATTATTACTTCTACAAATCTTTATGAATAAAAATACATCTAAATAAAACCGATATTGTTAAAATAAAAGCACAAGTTACCGATTCTTTATAATAACTTAGAATATCATCGAGTTCCCAGACCTCAGTCAGTCGAAGCAGTCGTTTATCTAGGTATAAACACTATAAACCCTTTGCGCGATGAATGACACTTGCTAGACACACGGGGTACCACTTGATTTGCATCCACGGCCACAATTTGTCGTGAAGTGACTGTTTTAGCTCAAAACATCTGTTAACAAGGATATTACTAGCCACATACAAATTATGTTATCTCTAATCCGAAAGATGTGCTATTATTCGTAATATTTATATTTAAATAATTTTTTTATTTATATTTGATAGATTTAAAATAAATTTAAAACTTAATTTGTCAAAACTTACTTAATGTGGCATGTAACCAACCTTATTACGCCAAGGTCTCCAATTATTTCAATAATAAATATATTTTTTAATCTGGGCCCGACTTTTCCGTCGAATCTAACAGAGATAGCACCATTCCGTCTCGCTTGGTTCTCGACCGCCACATCAAAGACGCCGACACGGAGTTGTGGAGCTGTATTAGGCATTCCAAAAAAATGAATTACCAGTGGGCAGGTTTGGTATATCTAATGGTGGCGACATGTGGTGTATTCTATCTACTTTACGTAAAATCATGAATAATGGATTACATTTAAATATTTTATGTCAAACAAAATAAAAATAATATTTAAAAAACCCACCTATACATTTCTTCATAAATTGGCAGGCTTGGCGACTACTACTTTGAATAAAAATAGCGTCCAAGTTGCAAGACTATGTCGCTACCCCCTTAGATATACAAGAATTTCCCACTGGCACCTATTGTTTGACAGGTCGTTGGAATGCCTAATTGTATAAGCTGTGGTTATACCTTCAAAACTTTTACAAAAGATAATCACTCTGACCAAAATCAAAATAAAAGACAATGTTGCCAAATTATGCAGTTCACATATATACTTAATGACGTCAGAGCCAAGTCAGTCGGTTAAACTTCAATATAGCGAATAAATACTTTATCAATTGTACCAACTTATTATAGAAGATATTCTAAATTATTATAATGTCGCTATTTAAAAAGAATTTTCACATAAAGTCCTCACGAAGTAAAGCAGGTTTTCCCCAAAGATTGTTGATTAATTTACAATAGACATTTGGCAACGTTGCAAAGATTTTGATTTACTGCGAAACAATCAGCTGTAATTGTATTATATTGTAATATATTTTATTCTATATACCCCACGAAAGACATAGGCGTAGACGATTTCTAACGAATATCTAAATAATTAAATGGTATTTTCAAAATATGAAGACAATGAACTTTAGCCAATTTACAACCGTAACAATACTTTAATATTAAATTACTCTAACCTATAATACTATCACCTCAACTATCACATACATATCATGAACCCTAAAAAACATATTACCAATTTTTTTTTGGAAAGGCATGCATTTTCTTATATTATAAACACGACTCCACGCGTGCGAAGCCGCTGGTAACAGCTGGTAGCTCTATAAGTATATTTTAAAATTAAAAAAAGTTCCTATCAAGAGGGGTTGTTATCTCCTGTGTTATGAAAATAAGGTGTCTTGAAAATGTTTTTTTTTATTTTCGTGAGCAGAAATTATATATGCGATTAAAATTTTGATACTTTTTCTATACAAAGTATTTATTTTTTAGGCAATGGGACTCGCATAACGGGCGAAGTTTATGAAGTAGACGATAAAATTTTAGCAGATTTGGATATTTTAGAGGATCACCCGAATTTTTATGTGCGGGAAAAGTTTGATGTTTGCTTGTTAAATAAAGACAATTCTACTGCCCAAGTATGGATTTACGTAATAAAAAATTTCAACCCAAAATTATTGAATGAACCTTTTTACAAAAGTTACAGTAGTAATGGTCCCCATGGCAAGAAATACGTAGAGAGGTACCTAAGAGATGGTAGTTTAAATTACAGAGAAACATTATTTTAAATAATTTTATTTTAGTGATGAATCCACTTTGGAGGAATTAAATGCAGACTAGTGCTATATTGGTAGGGCAGTTAATTTTTGAATATTCTAATAAATCTAGTTATATAAAGAATACCAAATAGGTTATGTAATAGCTATTTATGAAACCAGTTACGAAATTCCTTATTTTATGTAACAAGTGAATATTTGCGGGACAAGCAGAGCTAGGTCCCGCAACATGAACGAGTTATATAAAACGGCATATCGTATCATGTTACATACAATATTGTTTATAATTTTGAGTAGATTATTTATAAAATTGTGTTTTAGTAAAAAATTACTGACATCTAGGCAACCAATCTTACTATATTTTCTTGTATTATTAGTTGCATATGATTAACGTCATTCTTTTATTGACAAATAGAAAATCATATTCATTTTTTCGCAACGACTATTGTAGTATGTTTATATTGCTTGTTAAATTTAATTAAATTTCAAGAAAGTGGGTTATTTTGTCGTGTATTGTTTAAATTATTTTGTGCTGATTTAAAATGGAAAATAAGGACCAAAACAACATTACTAGGTTGTAAATTTAACCAAATTCTCTTTTTTTAAGCCAACCTGCCCTTCTTTGATAAATAAAAATGTATCTAGATAAATTTAAGGAATGGAAAAATAACTTTTTAAAATTTTTTATTTTACTTAACAAACGTTTTACTCTGATAAAAAATAAGGAATGACAATTTTACAATTTAACATATATTTATAAGTTAGCTTGTGCTGACGAAGCAGGTCGAAGACCGGCTTGCAAGCTTGCATATAGAGTTCATTTAACTCCTCCCTTGTTAAATGAAGGCTTCGGGTTCTTCAGAAGTTGAAGGCTGAATAATTTTGGGTTCCGTTTCTTACTTGAATAATTTCTTCATGTTTGTTTTTCCACAAAAAACAAACAATTGTTAGGATCGCCAGGGTTCTGATAAAAGACCATTGGAGCCAAGTTTCTGATTTTGGTTCATCGATGTCATCTATGGATAATTGATTGATTATTCATTATAGACTGTAATGAATATTTGGAACGAGTGTTGAATAGGAGTATTAATACAGGCTTCTTCATCTTTGATGAGGGCGGTGATGCAAACATCGGTTTTCATTTACAACTTTTCTTATTGCCAAAGATAGTTTTTCTCAAAAGAGATGTAGATATCTTCCATATATTGGTGTGTTTCGTCATTCAGAGCCAAATAAGGTATGATAATGGTATCGTGTTTGGTAGGGATTGGTTTTAGGGAAAAATATTTGTATATTTTTGGATAAATCATAGGAATTTCTATGGCAAAAATTATTTTATCACTTGTGAAACAACAATTAGTGAACATTATGGAATACCAAAATTTTTTAATCTATATTTAAAATTTCGTTAGTTTTGTAAATATATTTATGTTTTATTTATTTATTTTCTATATTATCTAGGAAATTCATAATTCTAATAATTATTAATAACATTTGATCAAGAATATTAGAATATGTAGAGGATTTATAATTTCCAATATATTATGAAATGTTCTTTTGATTATTGATTATTGAATTTAAAGTTTTTGAATATTTACATAATCAATAACTAGAATTCTTAAAGAAATTTATATTTTCTAATTTATTAGGTAATTCATTAATAATAGTCTTAAATAATCATATTTGTTTCTCAGAGATAATGAGTGAATATATTTTTTAAGATTCCTGGAATTGTTAAATGTTTCATGTGAGTCTATATTGTCTCGGTAATTTGAGAGGTAAGGGATTGTAAGTCTATGTCATGTAAAAAGATATGTTAGTAATAATGTGTGTGAAACTAAGTTTACAAGGAAGAATACTGATACCAGTAACTGTTATCTCTTGACTTTTAGTTTTCGTCATCAGTTTCAACAGTATTAGAAGGGTCATTGTCATTAGTACTGGCGTCATTTTGTCCTTCTATAGAAGAAAACGGTTTCTTAAGCTCCTTTATATTGTTATGTGAGCCATTTCATTATTCAGTCATGCTCTAACCTTACAAATCCCTCTCTGTCTTATTTGGCCTTTGAGGCTCAACTTGTCCGATTATTACACATAATTAAACCCCTTAAGACCAAACCTATGGGACGACTATGGCGGAGGTGATTTCGATGATGTTCGAGAAAGAACGAGATAATGTTTCTAGTGTATTGGAGAGAATATGTGAAATTACTAGAACATTCGCAAATTTTTTAAGTTTGTATATAAATATTGGTGGATGAGCCATCAGAGTTAGTTATTATATGGACAGTGAAGATAAATAGTAATTAGTAGATAGACAGTGGTGAATATAAATAGTGATCAGTTTAAAGACATTCGAAGTATATATAAATTAGAATAGTTGTGTTATAAAATAAATAAGTGTTTAAATAAATTATTAATAAATAAACTGTTGTTTTAAAGTAAACAAACATAACAATATGAATAATATATTTTTTATTTTTACTATTTTCAATTTCTACTTTATTTCTCTCTAATAACTTCGTTATAGTAAATGGTCCAATAAACTTATTATTTTTCTTCATCCTATTAGTATGGATTTTTCTTATAGACTACTTGATTAACCTTTAATTCTACATTTTCATTACCATTTATATTATGTTTACTAATTAATTTTTCTTTATCTTTAACTAAAGATTCATTAACTTTATTATAAACATGTTTTAGCTTATCTTTATGATTTTGGACATAACTTGAAAATAATTCTTTAGGCATAAATATTTCTTCAGGATTTCTGGAATTTGTATGTCCGAATATAAGTTAAAAAGGTGTGAAACCAGTCGCACTGTGTATTGAGCTATTATATCCAAGAATGGCATAATTAATTAAATCATCATCATTAAGGTACAACTCTTTTAGGATTCGTAAATGTTCGATCAACCTTGAATGGAATCGTTCAATAATTCCATTCGACTCATGGTGACCGGGTGTGGTAAAATGTGTTTTTATTTTATGTAAATTTAGAACTTCACGAACTGTATCATTTTTAAACTCTGTACCACTGTCTAGGACAATAATTGTTTTAGCTATACCGAAACTTGCAAAATATTTTGTTAAACCGTCACAAATGTTTATTGCTGTTTTTCCCGGAATAGGGATAGACTGAGCAAATTTTGAAAAAGGATCAATTATTGTTACATAAATCTTTTATTATAGTGAAAAATGTCTATATGTAATATTTCAAATGGTTTTAAGGGTGTTTCAGTTAAATTTAATGGTACATAGGGATTTTTCCGAGCATATTTAGTTCGCTGACAGATGTTACAAGAATTAATATATGAAGTGATTGTTTTTTGCATATTTGTCCAATAATAATTTCGCTTTAAATAATTTAATGTTTCCTCAATACCTCGGTGATTAGTTTTCCCTTCATGATGATTTTTTATTAACATTATTTGTTCATCGATATCTTTAATAGTATTTACTAAACGTGTACACATGACTAATGTTAAAATATCCTTTTTAAATATCTCTGTATATATTTCATTAAATTGAGGTACAAATTTTCTATCATCAAAATATATATGGTAGGTTTTATTGGGACCTAAATAATTTTTTATTTGTTTGCGATTATTTTCTAATGGTAATTTTAAGGTTATAATATTATTTTTTGTTTATTATAATTTTCGGTTTTAACGACTATTTGTTCATTATTTTGTTTAAAAACTAAGATTTGATTATTTTTATTGTTAATTATTTCGTCTAATATGAGAATGCCATCATTTTCGACTTCTTTCGAAAGTGAATGTGGAGTCTCATCAGAATCAGATTGATTTGGAGATTATTTTTAATTTGTGATGTATTTTTTGTTTATAACTAGGCCAGCTTCTTCGAAATCTTTATCAGAAATGTAATTATTGGGGTTTTCGGCTATATTTTTTAAAATTTCTAAGCTTTCTATATTTATATCACCTGGGTTATTATCTGTAGATTCAGTTTCAAGAGCATTTAATTCTACTTAAAGCATCTGCATTACTGTTTAGTTTGCCTTTTTTGTAAACTATTTTGTAATCATACGCCTCCAATTTGAGGCGCCATCTTATTAATTTTGAATTGAGTTCCTTCAAATTGAACAGCCAGACTAACGGGCGATGATCAGTTTGAATAGTAAAGGTTTTCCCAAAGAGATATGCACGGAAATACTTGCAGGCCCACACAATTGCCAGAAGTTCTTTCTCTATTGTGCTGTACCTGTGTTCCGTTTCGTTAAGAGTTCGTGACGCGTACACCACTGGTTTATCCTGACCTACGATACCTTGAGATAATACTGCACCGAGGGCAACGTCTGATGCGTCGGTGGTTAGTATAACATATTTTGAAAAGTCAGGATACTGAAGAATCGGACTATTACATAAAATTTTCTTACAAGTGTTAAAACATTCAATAAAATTTTGATTGTGAATTACTTTCGCATTCTTTTTCAAACAAATAGTCATAGGTTTTGTAATATTGGCGAAATCTTTAATGAATCTACGATAATAGCCTAACAGACCCAAAAAGGATTTTATTTCTTTTTGTGTCCGTGGAAATAAGCAACTGTTTTCTGTAAAAACTCAGATTTATCCAATTGAATTTTGAAATTTGCTTTTCTCAATCTATCAAATACATCTCTAACTCTAGAAATATGTTCTTGTAATGAAGTGCTAAATATTAAAATATCATCTAAGTAAACAATGCAAATGACATTATTTAATTCTCTTAGGACATTGTCCACAGGGCCGACTAGAGGGGGGCAGGGTAGCCGGGAGTAATTCCCGGGGCCCGGACTCAAATGGGAGCCCGGCTGTGGTATAAGGGGGGCCCGGCAACTGGATTTTTTTGTCTTGTATGAGAACGACACAAGACGAGAGGGGGAAGTGTTTGGTTGGGGAGCTGTTTTTGTTTAAGAAACTTTTTTGAGAAGAAAAAGTTTTTGTTTGAAATTTTGGGTTTGTATGTATAAAAAATCGTAGATTTTAACTGTTTTCTTAAAAAATTCTAACTTGATTTTTTGGGGATGCCACCCCCACCATATCAGATAGGGGTGGGGAGGGGTGAATTTTTTAATGCAATTTTTATTTTTATGGGATAGTACATCCATATACTAAGTTTGGTCTCAATATATCGACCCTAAATGCCCTAGCCCCCAGAGCCGAACCCCAACCGGATTATTTTTGTTGGTATTTCCAATAATCCTGTTGGTTAGGTTTGGAAAATATAAGTAATTTTTATGAATAATTCTTGTTATAGGTAGATTGAAGTGATTATTCTCAAGTGGTTCTTTACTGTTTTATTTAAGTCCAAGCTAAAAAATTTTTTCTTTAAATAATATAACTAATTTTAAATTATTTTTTTAATTTCTTTATTATATTTAATATTATTTCTACTTTTTCTAACAATAATCAATTTAAGATATCTACTTTGATTGAGCCAAAATATTTAGTAGGGGAAGTTTTTAATATTATATAAACATACTGTGTGTAAATTTGGCTAAGCAGTAACCTTTATTTCTAAAACCAGGAGGACAATGTTACTTGAAAAATGTATATTTAGAATTAATATTTACCACCATCAAATCCCAGACCTGGACACATTTTTTTTTTTTTTTTTTTTTTAGCAATACGGGAAAAGCAGAAGTGACATTTTTACAAATGAAATTAATTTCAACAAATTTATTTGAGATCATGTATAAAATTATTCATTATTAAAGACACCTTTTATAACCACTATTGCATATTCAAAAAAAGCTTTAAATAAAAGTTTGTGGATATGACTGACTTTTTTAAATATGCCATAAAAACACGTATTCAGATTTCACGGAATACAACATAAATAAACTTTTTTAATGTTGGGGAAACCCTCTTATGTTATTAAATTTCTGGGATATATATTTTTTTCTAATTTCACAAATGTATATTATTGATAACCCTATCTTATACCGTCTGTTCTCGAGTAATTTAACGTTGATAATGTAAATATAAAAAGTTAACATTATTAAAGTAAAAGCTATGAAAATCACTACACTATTATGTTTGATAATAAAATAATCCAAATATAGGTAGTTTACAGTGAGGAAGAAAAAGTGTAAATATTTATAAGATATTTGACGTTTAATTAATCAGGAAAGAATAAAAATCATTCCGAAAATTGAATAAAATATATATGTACCTATGCTATCCCTATTAAAAAATATTCATGTTAAATCCTGTGAAATATGCACGCCACTGATATGGTCATTTGATGACATTTTTACAAAATTCGGTCAATGTAAACATTATACAATAATAATTATGGCATAAAGGGAGGGTAATTTATAATGAATAACCCTGTTAGGTAGGTACCTACCTAATAATTTTCAGTAAAAAAAATTTAATTCGCACTTTTTTACGTAGATTAAAGAAAAATGTAATTTCGTGTTTTCTTGGTGCAGACATTTTGCAACACACTGTATATTCAAATCCAAAATGATGTATTTTCTTTTAACACATAGGTACCTAATACAAATTTATTAGCAAAATTTAAATACTTGCTATTTTCGGTATATTTCTCCTTTAGACACACACATTTTCAGTTTCATTGTCAAAAGATTTAAATAAAATTACCGGACCTTATAATATTCTATTATAATTTGATGATCCCGAGTGGCCATAGCAAAAAGACGAAATTTGAGCATGTAGATTTAGATGTCATTAACGTAAAATTCATGTTTTGAAATTAATTTAAGTTTTACTAATTTAGAAAATAAAATAATAAAAAAAAGTGTCTACTCGTGGGTTTGAACTCGGAACCCTTCGATTCATAGACAAGTACTCTAAATCTTCCTTGAAGACTTATGAAAAATTTTTACTTTTTAACGCTGATAATCAGATTGCTTTTAGTTTTATTAAAATCTCAGTTTATTTCTAAATATAGACGAATATCTTGTGGAATGCTATTATTTATTGATTCCTTACAAGAATCACTAATTTTTAATTATATTTAAGAGCAAGTTCAATTTCGTTTGACATATAATCACGATTTTTTTTAGGTTAGAAAATTGTATTATCGATTTTTTTCATTCGAAGTAATACAAGACGTCACTTTAAATTTCTATCTCTTTATGTCACCAAATATGTAACACGATGAATTTATAAAACGTATGTCACTAATGAATATGTGGCGAAAACTGACGGCAACACTGTCAGCTACTCCATGGCTACTAGAGTACATACAGGTCCGGTATAAGCCATATATAAATAGAAAATAATAATTTAATGTTTTGATTGAGTCAAATAAAATATCAAAATTAAATGTTTATTTTTAAGTAAACGACATTTTTAAATGTACCTATACGTCTTCAATCAAAAATAATATAGGCTTAGGGTGAGATTACAGAACGTCTGCAACTTTGCATCAGATCTGCAAATATGGCGGCAACTTTGCAGATCTGCAAATATGGCGGACTTACAGATGCAAGTATCCAAAAAATATCTGAAATTCGCAATATTTATTACATAACAACACTAAATCCAAATCCACCCTTAAGAAGGTTAGAACATCCTACAACCATGAAGTCTTCTGTTTCTTTTGATTGAATACAGTTCATGGTGTCAGATTATCGAGTTTTTAAACATAGTTATGGATTTGGGTTTAATGTTGTTGGGGGTAATAAACCACAATATATATTGCGAATTTGCAGATCTTTTTTGGAAAACTTGATACATGCATATGTAAGTCCGCCATATTTGCAGATCTGCAAAGTTACCGCCATATTTGCAGATCTGCAAAGTTACCGCCATATTTGCAGCTCTGCAAAGTTACCGCCATATTTGCAGATCTGCAAAGTTGCAGACGTTCTGTTATCTCACCCTAATACGCAAGTGTATACGAGTGTACTGGACAAGAGATAATTTTACCCTTTACTCCAGTTTTTTGTAATGAAACCAGCGGTAAAATAGATATTTGTGTACCAAGGCTGTGTTTTGGCCGAATTAGACATATGCGTTCGAGTCTAGGCTAGGTCTGGTTAAGTATAAGAGTAATAGGCAAGAAACGGGCGTTCAATCAAACTTGACATCGAGATAGATGTCACATAAGCAGGTGTACTGAAGATGAACTTTGCAGGACCAAGAATCAGATAGGTATAACACTTGATATTCTGAAAACTATGCACACTACACTGAATAAGAACGAATGGAAGTGTCAGAAGGAGGCTAAAGGCAAAAAATAGACGGAACAGCCGAATATATAGATAAGTAATATTTTAGCCAGGAGAGAGTTGATGAGTGTTATAAATATAGTTAATTTATGAATGTATTTTTAATGTATAATTTCAGTTTATTTTCATTTTTGGTATAAAACTATGGCTGACATAATAAAACTCTTAAAAGTATATATATTTTCAATCTTTATTACTATACATATTTAGTTTTCATTTATTCTCTCTGACCTCGGGAAAAGGTTAGAAAACCCTGGTCATAATTGTTTACAATGTTGGTGTTCCTAATGATACAAAACATTACAGAGGAATGATACTTAGCCGATGAAATCTCATCGAGTTCACGCATGACGTATGTGGTATGGAATATGGCTATCTCTGATGTATCTGTAGATTTAAATTTATTTTTGCGTACTGTTTTCTATCAACTGATACCCCAAATTTATACAAGCCACGTCTTCGCACCACAATGTGACAGCATCAAATCTGCTTAATCTCGTACCATTTTTTTTAAGTATCAAGGATATTCTTGGTGTAGCTGATCATCATGTTTCGAATCATTGAACCTAAAAAATAACAAATATCAATAAATAGATTTCGGAACTTATTCCAAAAATATTTTTCTTTGGGAATTATATAGGATTTCTCGTTAATATACTGACAAACTTTTAAAGGTGGTAGGTGCATCAAAATAAACATTTTTTTGCTTAATAAAATAAAAATAATTTTATTGCCCAACTAATTAATCCATTTACAGAACAAAATACATGAAATAAATGTTAAACATAATATTTCGACAGAAAATAATTTTAGCAACTGTAACTTGACAAACCGGACCCTCACCTAGTTTTGCAAATACTTATAACCTTGGCCTAAATTTCGTCTAGTGGATCCCTACGAAGTGATGTTAAAACCCCCCAGAATTACGTTTAGAGTTCAATGTAGCTGTAATGGAGGAAGAACAAAGGAAACACCGAGATTAATTTTGAATACTGTTTATTTAACATCTATTCTTTTGTACAGCCGAACATTTAGATTATGTGCCTTTTTTAGGTTTAACATTATGTTTATGTAGGCTTTCTAATGTGTCATTTCTAACCTCAGAGCTTTTAGTTCCCATAAAAGGGTAAAATAAAAGTCGGAAGTACTTTGGTACGTTTGTTTGTCTCCTAATATACAATCACACGTTTCCACGGAACTACTGAATTTCGCATTGTCTAATAAAAGAGAGTACAACGGTAGCACGAGGAGTGTTGTGAGATCTAAAATATTGTGTTGAATTGAGAACCTCTTCCTTTTTGAAGTCGGTTAAATTTAATATTTCTAATATGTGTAAAAACCGGAGTGTAGATTTACCTCACCGTGCGTCACGCCTTTCTCTAATATTCCAACGCCGTAATTTACCGACATACTCAGTCCTGTGTGGACAACACTAAACGGTCGATCGGAGAACACCTGATATAAAGGGGGATGCCCGTCAGGCCCACTTTTGGGGTATCTCAGTAGAGATCCATCCAAGCCTCTATCAGGCTTTAATTTACATAGCCGCAAGGGAAATACCATTTTTAGGCCCTTACTATTGAGGTCCTTGGCGGTCTATGGTGGCCTAAGGCGATGCTCTTTTGCTCTGTCGATTGACAAATCAGTGTTATTAATCACAGTTCTGAGGATACGTTAGCTAGTCCACAAACACAATTTCACCTATTTATTCTAAATAAATAACAAACATACCGACTACTTCCGCGTAATGTCCCGCTAAAGATATGTGGATATGTACAAATAAATACGACCCTCCTCAATATTCATGATTCTACCCGCCGCTGTACATATCTCCTTTTTCCCGAAAATTCGATACACAAAACAAAGCCATATTCGAGCGGTCTACTGGTTTAAATATATTTCATGCGGTTCGAAAACGGTTTGAAATATTCCCATTCGAGTGACCAAACAATGACGTCACGTTGAAATAGGTTTAAACCAGCTGCATCTGTTTTTGAAACGTTTCATTGAGAACGGTTCAAGGAAATAGAAATGTCATTAATTATCAAAAAAGATTTTTTATATTACGGTAATAAGAAAAAATAGAAAATGCATAATTATGAAGGTTTATAATTTTTAGTATTTTTAAAATCTTGACCTGGTTAAAGTCGAATTCTAAATATAACGATCCATTTTTCATAAAACTCTGGTAATGGGTCCTATGATTGAACGTTTACGTTATCCGTAACGTACATGTTAGGCCGAGTTTTCACAAGGCAAGTTTGTATAATGGAAAACTTTTTCCAACCCATTACTGTTATTTCCCGCCTGTCATGTTCTAATTTAACAGTTTTCCATCATACGAACTTGCCTCGTTACTTTTAAAATTCGGCTCAGCATGTACGTTATGGATAACGTAAACATTCAATCATAGGACCCAATATATAAGCTTTTTTGAGGCAAAAAATTATCTGTCGCTAGAGATTTACAAACTCACAAATCCTTAACTGTTAGTGACATCACTGTTTTAAAATTAACTATTTGAGCGCTTTCAAAATCTATGACGTAGTATTAAAACTGGTTCTAAAAGTTGTTGATAATATTTTTAAACCAAAGAGACCGCTCAAATATGGCGTTAAACTCCGTACTACGGCTAAAATGACACATTTGTCTACCCAATTTTGTCTTACAAAGAACGACAGAAAACATATTTTTTTAAACCGCAAACTAACTTTAAAATATATACAAATCCAGGCATTTACCCTGCTAATCTACATCTGTTTGCCATTTAAAAGTAAAACCGAAAGTGCTTTTTATCTTTACTGAAAGGGGCAGGTACTGCTTACAGACAACCGAAACTTTACAATTCGGCCCTTTGGCCATAAATCTAAATGACTTAATTTATTACTGGAGAGCATTGACCGACTATACAACAATTAATATTTATGACAACAACATCACTATCGATTCTCTAAATAGCATAATTTAGCACAATATAAAAACCCTATAATTTTTCCCACAATACGTTTACCAATGAATACCAAAAATATGACAATAACACACAGACGCGAATGTTCCCGCTAATGAATATAAAAGTAAATAAAGTGATACCTGTAACCTATTAATGTTTGTCTAAATTCTCCCCCGGAATATCTGAATATTAATTACTAGTTTGACTACTTTAATAGTGCGATTATCGTTTTAATTCTACGTAAAAGAAACCTTACAGAAAGAAAAGTATACCGCTGGTAAAAGTGTCTACCTGGCGCAAGTTCGTCGGATCAGCCAGAAGGGTGACGAAATCCACTACGAACGTCACCTATTCGCGATTCAAGCTAAGTGATACGCCCTCTGGAGGAAATTAGTAGAAGGTCCCTATAAGTAGGATGACGTTCAGTGTTGCCAGAAGCAGCAAAATTTCGTTACGTCGTCGGATTTTAGTTCTTGAAGAAATGGATAAGACCTTTTAAGAATCAAAATTTGTGTCTAGTAATATGTAATCATACTTTTATTTAAGGGTTTTTTTTATAAAATCGATTTATTATATTGATTTTTTTTTAAATTTCAGTTCATTTATTAATTTTAGTTTTAAAATCAGTCAGAGACAAAATCAGTTCATCATTTGGCAACATCGGCATTCGTGTTTATTGTTTACATTTTAATTTGTATCAATTACAATTAGAGTTTTTTGTTACTTTTTAGCTTTAAATTTGTTTATTTCTTATAGTATGTGATAGTATTTAAATTAAAAATGAAATCTGCGAAAAAGCCTCCAGCAAATTGCAATGTATATGGTGTTATTGTCAAAATCAAAACTGAAGTACCTATTCATTATTTTTTAAGTGCAAGTCATAAAATTTTGTTTCTTACGATAAATGGGTATCTACAAATTCACAATATTGAAATTTTGCAAAACGTTGTTTAGAATCAAACTCCAATATGAGTTGTGACGGTTTTATTACCATTTACATGTAAACAAAGTACTACACAATTCACTTCATGATATAAGAATAAGGATAGTAAGAT